TTTATGATCAGAAGTTCAAACAAAAATCTTTAAAAGTGTGTTCAGATTTCAAAGACCTCGGAGAAGGAAGTAATTTTCAAAGTAAATAGGAATATATTTTGGCAATCTGTTAATCACCACTGAAAGCAAAGACTACAGGCATTAGGCTGGCATAACCCAGGTAGCTTCCAGGGAGCTGCCCACATCAAATAATCACTATGAAAAATGACAAAGTAGATTTCAGGAAGCTACTGTGAGCCCTGCCAAAACCATCCACAGGCCACCTGTGCGAAATAAGCAGAATAAATCTACTCAGAAGAATGGTGTTCACAAGCCAATTTGCAAAGCCTGGGGAATATGTCTGTCCTTTGAACCACCCAAAGGTGCAGAGTTCAGCATTCACCAGACGACAGCACAAGCCTCCATTGCGAGAAGTTATTACAATACTTTAGAAGATGCTGAGTGACAGCAGGCACATGCTCATTCAGTTAACTCTTCAGTCACACAGGTAGACTCATACCAGGATCTACTCTTGAATTATGAGCGCCCTAGCACTACAAGAACATCTAGGAGATCTCCTCCAAGATCCTTTTTGTCACACAAAGATTAATTGCCATCTAGACTAAATGGATTTAGATTTGTAGAATATTGAGACATCTTTTCTGGATAAAAAACTGTATAATTTAGCCTGTCACAGAGGGGAAAAAAAAAATCTTCCCAGGCAAAACTTAGCAAGATTAAATGCAATGGCATTAAATAGCTAAAGAATCAGGTGACCATTCATTTAGCACAAAGTAAAGATCTTCAGGCTAAAATTAAGCAAAGAACCAAAAACCCGACAAGAACTTAACTCCCTACACATACATATTTGATTAATAGGAACTGAATTACTAATTTGGAAGCGTAAATTGAATCTAATTGGTTTTACTATAGGCTACTAGAAAATATACGGATAACAAAATATTCAGATCATTACTCAAGACTGTTTCTTAAGGACAAACCGGTCAAAGGAAGGCAGATGTTCTCCCCCCCAGTAATCTATAAAAAACAAAGTCAGAAAGTGTCATGAATGCACATGGAAAAATATTCTGAGTGATAAATGATTAAATTAGGTATTAAATTGTTTCTGCTACAGACTACTAAGTCATGTTAAAAGCGTATCTTGCTTCTTAATCATTTACCTGCTTAATTATGTGACATGAGGAAAACACTCTTGGAAGATTCATCTAAAAAGTATATGCCAACAGTATATTTATATGTCCAAACTCACAACCTCATAACTAAACTGAAGTTAGCATTAGCTGGGGAGAAAAACCTACATTAAAACGAATATGTAGCCAAAGGAAAAACAGGCATAATACAAAATATGAATCAGAAGCTAAGAATGACAGAATATTCACAGAAGGTAAGCAAAAAGTTTTATTGACAATGGATATTTATCCATGTGAATAGCATGAAGGATTTTTTTTAATAGTGTATTTCAGAGAAAGCAGGAAGTCCAGATAAATTTCTGTTCTACATTTGTGGAGAACAAACAACATATTTATATCACTAAATTCTAACAACAGCTAAGGAAAGCCTTAAACACAGGAACAGAAGGAAGGCGGTTTTTAAATCAGCAGCTCCAGATAGCTTGCATCCAAGAATTTTAAGAGCTGGCAAAGGAGACTTCTGTGCAGTCAACCTTGCATTAATCCAGGGAAAGAAAAAATACTGACATCATGATATAAGAACAAGAAATAAATGAGGAAATTTTACTTAAATTACACAGCTTAAACGTATGGAAAAGTGTACCTTTTCAGACTGATGTTTTTTCTCATGCAATTAGAGCATACATTTGGTAGATAACAGGAACAGTGTTGATATAACACATTTGACATTGACCTGTTCAGTAGGACAATGAGAAACTGGCATAGTTGTGCACATATAGTTCATAGTAAGTAAATGAAAACTAAAGTTACAGGTCTGTGTCATCAATGAGGAATCAGTCAGACATATTGCTAATTGAATCCCACAGGAATTAGTTCTTGGCACCAAGCTATTCAATATTTTATCTGGAAATAAAGTTTACAAAGGACATCCATAAAAGCTCTAAGTAAATAATGTAGCAAGCTTGCTGATTTGGAACCATCTGGATTACTGGAAAATTAAGTGTTTCAGCATGATCAGTGTGAGGTCATGTATTTAAAAGGGATGAATATAAAACACTTATAGATAGACAACTTCCTCAGGAAGTAGTTGTAATAGCTGATAACAGAGCAAACACAGGTTCCTTATGCATAAGTGAGTTCAAAATTGTTAATATAATTGTTAAATGGCTCAGAAAACAAACCACCAGAAACAAATGCTGCTTTCATTGCAGGGAGGAAGAGGCCAGAGAAACAGGACAATTACCAAACCAGATTTTTCAAGTACTGATCTCCATTGGCAAAAGACATTGCTGCATTTCAGGAAGCAGTGATAGGATGACTACTTCTGTATCTGTGTTTATTGGCACTGCTTTATCAGAATATAGCATCTAGTCCAAAGAAGTTATTAGTAAACCAGCGATTTCAAAGAGCAAGTACAAATGATCCAAGTGCAAAACAAGTCTAAAATTGAACACCACAATGGAATAACTGGCATACAAACATTATCTCCATCACATGAGGTTTAAGGACCATATGAAGACCTAGTCAAGTATTTGGCAGGGCAGGGGAGAATTATATAAGTGCAGTGTGATAGCTGAAAGTAAGTTCAGATTAAAATACCAAGGAAGTCTTTTTTGAACAACTGTAGTAATTACTAAGTTTCCAAAGGTGGCAGTAGTTTTGCTAACAGCATACATGTCTATGATTACTGGACAACACCCCTCCAAACTAGAATTAAAATATTATTTTTAAAAGATAATCACAACTACCTTACTATAGGCCATCATTTCATAACATGTACCATGTCTCTCCAGTCAGCTAAATCTCTCAAGTTGTGATATAACTAGAAACAGGAATGCTCTCAGCAAAATGCTTGTTTTGGGATTGAGAGTTATCAGTGTCCAGGCCAAATCGATGACTGTTCTCATTAAAAAAAAAATTCCTCCAATGCCCAATCTGAATAAATAAAGGGACTTCAATAAATAAAATGAAGTTAAGTTCTTACGTTCAGGAATGAATGAAACCAGCACTTTTACTTAAAGCTGCTTAAAAATTCTGTTCTCACACCCCCGCTTTCAGTAGTGACTAAATAAAAAAGAAAAAGGCTTAGATGGGAACGGGCTCACTGTCACTGGAAGCAATGAAGACCCGCTTGTATGTCAAACCCCCCAAGAGAAAGCCGAAGGCTACCGATAAAGGCA